AGACACACACACACACACACACACACACACACACACACTCCCACTCTGCAGCCTGTAGAGTTGTAGAACAGCAGTAAAGGTCATCAACTGCGTGTGTGTGTGCATGTGCATGTGCGTGTGTGTGTGTGTGTGTGCGTGTGTGTGTGCAGGTCTGGACCCCGCCGGTCCACATTTCGAGGGTCTGCCGGCGCTGGACAGGCTCTCACCAGACGACGCTCAGTTTGTGGACGCCATACACACCTTCACCAAGTCTCCTCTGCTGCCGGGGGTGGGCATCAAGCAGAGCGTGGCTCATGTGGACTTCTACCCCAACGGCGGAACCTTCCAGCCCGGCTGCAAGATCAGCGACATCTACAGCAACGTCTACCAGTACGGCCTGCAAGGTACAGCGCCACCTGCTGCGCACCTGGGGGGATCACACACACACACATCTGGCTGCTGCGTTCTGATTGGTCAGTGGTGACATTAGCAGGTGTGTGTTATTCCCAGATGACCCCCGCTGAATAACACACACTCCTGCGGGACTGAGCGTCTCCATAACGTGATGTTCACACACCTGAGGAGGCCACACAGACGAGTGTGTACATACAGGTGTGCCGCATACACTGACGGAGACGCTCAGCTCCCGCAGGAGTGTGTGTGTGTTATTCAGCGCTGGTGTCTGGGAACAACACACACCAGCTAATGTCTCCACTGACCAATCAGAACGCAGCAGCCAGACGTGTGTGTGTGTGTGTGATCCCCCATGTCTCCACTGACCAATCAGCTGTCCTGGATGACCTGCAGGCTGTACTTTACCCCTTACATGATGAGCTGTGTGTGCTCCTGTGCTTTAGCAGAACAACAACACACACACACACACACACACACACACACACACACACACCCTCCGTCTGACATGTCTATATAGAGCAGATCATTAGAGAGGAGCGGCATCATTCAACATCCCACACACAGCAGACGGGTGTGTTCGGCAGTTCTGCTGACGGACAGGGTGTGTGTGTGTGTGTGTGCGTGTGTGTTTTCCAGGAGTGCCCAAGACCATTAAATGCTCTCACGAGCGCGCCGTCAGACTGTTCACTGATTCGCTGCTGAACACCAGCCGGCCGTTGCTAGGCTTCCGTTGCCGTGACAACAGCGCCTTCAGCCGGGGTCAGTGTCTGGACTGCAGCCGGCGCCGCTGCAACACTCTGGGCTTCAGTGTGCGGCGCGAGCACTCCGGCGGGAAAGGGCTATACCTGCGCACGGGGCCCGAGACGCCATACACAGGTCAGACACACACACACACACACACACACACACACATATACCCTGTGTCTGTCTCAGTGTTATACAGCACACACACACACACACACACACACACACACCCTGTGTCTGTCTCAGTGTTCCACTATCAGGTCCGAGTGCTGCTGCGGGGTCCGCTGGAGCTGCTGGAGGCCCCGGTGTCTGTGATGCTGAACGGGACTGGAGGACAGACGGGGGACGTGCCCTTAATCCTGTGAGCGCACACACACACACACACACACAGGTGTTGTAGACTGCGGCTGTGGTCAGTGTGGTGTTGTCTGCACGTATCCTCCTCACTGATCTTCAGTCCAGCAGTGGAGCAGAGTGAAGCTTCATCAGCAGAGGAACAGCACAAACACACCGCACACACACTGCACACACACTGCACACACACCGCACACACACCGCACACACACTGCACACACACCGCACACACACTGCACACACACTGCACATACACTGCACACACACCGCACACACACCGCACACACACCGCACACACACCGCACACACACTGCACACACACCGCACACACACTGCACACACACTGCACACACACCGCACACACACTGCACACACACCGCATTATGAAGACACAGCAGTCTGACAGTGAACATCTCCCATGGCCTGCACAGTACCCAGACCTAAACATTATTGAGCACTGGGCTGTTTTGGAGGAGTGAGTGAGGACAGGTTTTCCTCCAGCAGCAGCAGCAGTGACCTGAACACTATTCTGAAGAAGAACCGCTCACAGACCCTCTGACCACTGTGCAGGACCCCTGTCTGTCAATCACTACACTGAGGAGGAGGAGCTACAGCACTGAGGAGGAGGAGCTACAGCACTGAGGAGGAGGAGCTACAGCAGACTGACCAACCACTGCTCTCTAACACCAGACCCTTAATTTCACTGTACAACCCCAGTACATGTGCATGTGTGTATATTGATGTGTGTGTGTGTGTGTGTGTGTGTGTGTGTGTAGCCATCAGCACAGCAGTGGGCAGGTGTTGTCGTCTCTGCTGGCGGCGGGGGCTGATCTGGGTCTCCTCTCCTCCGTCCGGCTGCTCTGGAAGGGGGATCCGCTGTTGTCCGGCTGGCTGCGGCGCGTGCACAACATCTGGAACATCTGGAGCGGCACAGAGCCGGAGCCGGAGCTGCACATCTGGAGGATCAGCGTCAAATCTGGAGAAACACAGCAGAAGTGAGTCCATCATGGCAGAGGAACAGCACACACACGCACGCACACACACACACACACACACGCATGCTCGCACGCGCGCGCGCGCGCGCGCACACACACACACACACTTAAAATGGTGTTTAAACAATTAAAACTGCTTTTATTCTAGCCAAAATAAAACAAATCAGACTTTCTCCAGAAGAACAGACATTATCAGACACACTGTGAACATTTCCTCAACATCATCTGGGAAATATTTAACAAAGAGAAAACAAATCAAAGGGGGTGAATAATTCTGACTTCAGCTGTACACACACACACACACACACACACACACACACACACACACACACACACACACACACACACACACACACACACACTCACACACACACACACACACACACACACACACACACACACACTCACTCACACAGACAGGAGGAGGCGAGGGCAGATGGAGAGCAGGTTCTGGACAACAGATTCTTCATTGCAGACTCTGATCACTCAGTGGTGGTCTCAGACTCGCTCCTGGAGGGCCGCAGCTCTGCTCCAGCCCTGATCAAACAGCTGATGCAGGAGTGAGCTGGAGCTGAACTGAGTCTGAGAGCGCTGATATACAGTGTGTTTCTGAACTGAAGAGAGCGCTGAATACACACACACGCATGTTTGTTTTTGTGAAAAGTGGGGACATTACATAGGTTTCCATTCATTTTATACAGCCCAAACCGTATATTATATTGCCCTCACCCGACCCCTAAACCCAACCATCACAGCAGACAGTGTGCAGCTTTACTCTGATTAAACTCATCCTGTAGGATTTATAAGCATTTTGAGAAATGAGGACGTCACCAATGTGCTCATATTTCACCTGCTTTTAGTAATACCTGTATCATACCCATGTCATTATACACATCTGTGTCCTGATATGTCACAAAACACGTACACACACACACACACACACTGAACAGTGCAGAGATTCAGCATGACGTTGAGGTCAGATGGTGGAGCGCAGCAGCAGATGATCACTGTCTGAAAGGGAAGTGTCTTATATTAGCATCACATCACATTAGCAAGCGGGCTATTACCTCATTTACATGAATCATGTGGTCAGGAGTGACCGCCCACTGCTGTCCTCCTCTGGCTGAATCCCCTGTGGAGATGTTGTGTGTGAGAGTGTGTGTGTGTGTCAGGTGTGTGTCCTCCTCCTGTGTTCTGCTGTAGCAGTGAATAACTCTGATCATTAAGCGGAGGGGTATGGAGCTGCTCTAAACCTGCCGGAACTACTTTAGCTGTGCCGTTATCTGACAATAACCAAACACCTGAGGTCAGGGGTGTCAGACTCGCTCCTGGAGGGCCGCAGCTCTGCAGTTTAGCTCCAGCACACTCCCCTGCAGCTCTCACAGCAGCCTGCAGGACTCCATCAGTCTGATCAGGAGTGTTTAATCAGGGCCGGAGCTCAACCCTGCAGAGCTGCGGCCCTCCAGGAGCGGAGCCTGACCCCTGAGCTCTGACCCGTGAGAGCTTTATTAATCTCCAGAACACAAGTGACCAGGTTTAAGATGAAATGCTGGAGCTCTCGGACCCTCCACAGACAGCAAAGGGTCTAAGATGCTCACTGTATTACAAGTATTTCAGGTGTCTACAGGTGTCAGTGAAGACTGCTTCATCAACTTTGAACTTTTACAAAACTACAGTTTCAGGTCGGTGGTCTGAATCATTATTAAATCTGCAAGACCTCCTGATTTCAGTAACAGAGCTTCACAATCTCGTCACTGTTTGGAAAATAATTCAATGTTTCTCCACTGGGGGGAGCAATACTATAGAGATACCACTAAACCAGGCAGGATCACTCGGATCGCCAGTTTTCAGCTGGTCTTGAATCAGTTTAATGGATTTGTCGAAATTTAATGAAGCATTTGCAAAATTAATATGAATAATATTTGATAACAGTATATTGTTGGCCTGTTCAGCAGCAGAACCAACAGTATTAGCCTTGAAAATGAATGAGAAAATTCACATTATGCAGACACTTAATATTTACTGATATTAGCTGATAAAGTAAGTTTGTATTTAACACATTACACTTTGAGTTGAGCATTTGCAGTGTGAAAAAGCTGAATTCAATGCATTGTTAGCCTGTTATTGCTGCATTTACAGTTTAGACCATCAGGTGTCGCCAGCGTGCGCTGATTCAAACACTTCAACTCAGTGAATCATTTAGTGAATCAAGTAGTTTTGAAGCTTTGTTTCTCTCATCAATAGACAATAGAGTCACAAATACTCCTAAAACACTGTCTGAGCAGTTTATGTGGGTCAACAGTACTACAGGAGGCTACAATAAAAGTTCTGTGTGCAAAACTAAAAATAAAGGCTTTATTCAACAGATTAGCTGAACTTGCGCTGACTGTTGCTGTTTTATTTTGTGTACTAAAGTATTCTGTTTGGTGAAACTTTACTAATGTAATAGTTGACAAAGCTTCACTCATCATCATCGAGTTGATCAAGAGCGTAGATGTTAGCAGCGGTAACTGGACGCAGTACAGTCAACCTAAAGACTTTAGTACACACTATACAGTAATACGGGAAGCTGTTTTCAAAGGTAGCGTCCACAGGTTATCATTATATTATAGAGTGATGAAGAGGGCGTCTGAGCTTTAACACTGAATCACAGAGCATCTGCTGTATGTTCTGTTCAGCTCCGTCAGGTGTTCAGAGGTGTTGGAGAAGTGGACAGACCCTGCGGTTCTGCAGTGAACACACAATGAACATCAACATGCGGGATCTGAAGCACATACATGATGACAAACAGAAGATCTGCGGGATAAAGATGATGAAGCACAGGCCGTGTCTGACCGTCTGCAGCGTGAACACACACAAGCAGATTCATTCATCCAGCCGATTCACCAATCAGAGGAATCAGCGCTCACTCGACTGATTCAGCAGTGATTCATGAATCAAACACACTGAGAGAACTGCAAATTAAAGATGATGAGAGATGGACATGAGGCCAGCCGTCCCTCAGACTGACACGACTGCAGTCTAGCACAGCAGCAGTATATCTAGTGCACTACAGCTGATAGTGTTACACCACCCTGATATAAACACACACAGACAGCAGCTGTCCTCAGTTCCTCATGCTCTGGACACTTCAACCTGCCTGCAGATCAATGTGAAGAGCAATATAAAAGAGAAGTTAGGGAATCATTCAACACTCATTTACAGTTTGAGCAATCAGACAGGCTGCTTGCTGGATCTACTGGGCTTTCTCCTGGATCTATGATCTGTCTGGATGGCATCTGTCTGGATCTGCGTGCCTGCTTTCCTCTGTTCTACATCTACAGGTCATTATCCTCTGGATCTATGAGCAGGGTTTTCTGGATCTACTGGACTGGTTTTCTGGACCTACAGGCTGTTTGTTTCACCTGTATTCTGGATCTACGGGCTTCATTTTCTGGATTTACTGTATGTTCTGGTACTTGTTTTCAGTGACCCGAGGTCCATTATTCTGAATCTACAGGCTGTATTCTGCCTCATTTGCTGAATCTATGTGCTGGGTTTTCTGGATAAACTGACAGATTTTTTCCTTTTTCTGGACTTTAAGGGTGCTAAGCTGTTTTTTTTCTGGATCTACAGGCCATTTCCCTCACCCATGGCTTCTACAGTCAGTTTTTTCTGGAGCTGCTGGTTATTTTCCCCCAGAAGCACCGGCCATGATGTTCTCTGGATCTACAAGCAGTTTTCTTTTTATCTGAACTGAACCTGTTTCTAGATGTACTTGACGGATGATATTTCTCAGTATTCTGCATCTATGGAACAGTATGTTGTGAACGTGTGGGCTGGGTTTTCTGGGTCTTACAGGCTGTTTTTTTCACAGATATTCTAGATCTACGGGCCTTTATTTTCTGGGTGCTGTTTCTTGATCTGGGGTCCACTGCTCTGGATCTACGAGCTGTTTTTCTGCATCATCTTCTGAATATATGCACTGGGTTTTTCTAGATGTACAGGCAGATTTTCTTTTACTGGACTTAAAGGGAGCTGTTTTCTTGATCTAGGCTCTCTTTATCTGGATCTACTGGCCTGTTCTTCTGTTTTTTCATTCCATGTTTTATCCTTTATGGATCTACTGGTCATTTCCGTCAACCCCAAAGCCACTGCTGTTTATCTGGATCTTTTTTGCTGGCCTGTTTCTTCTGGATCTCGCCTCTACAGTTAGTTTTCCTGGATCTGCTGGCCATTTCCCCCCAGATATACTGTCATTCTTTATCTGGATCAACAAGCCAATCTACTGGACTTGTTTCTAGATGTACATGCTGGATTTTATTATTCTGTAATCTGGATTTACCTTCTATTTTGTTTTTTATCTGTGCTGGGGTTTTCTAGATCTGCATTCTGGTTTATTTTGGAGCTACATGTCATCTTTCTGGATCTGCATGCATGTTTTTCAGTATTCTGGATCTACAGGCTATTGTATTATAATCGATGGGCTGGGGTTTACTGGATCTACTGGACTGGTTTTCTGGATCTACAGGCTGTGTTTTCACCTGTATTCTGGATCTTTGGGTCTTCATTTTCTGGATTTACAGGGTGCTCTTCTCCTTGATCTGAAGTCCATTATTCTCAGGCTGTTTTTCTGTATTCTGTATCATCTTCTGAATCTATTGGCTGGGGTTTTCTGGATCTTCAGGCTGTTTTTTTCACCTGTATTCAGGATCTATGGGCTGCGTTTTTCTAGATATACTAGCAGTTTCTCTTTTTCTGGACTTAAAGGATGTTTTTTCTTGATGTAGTCTGCCCTTTTCTGGATCTGCTGGCCTGTCTTTCTGGATCTGCTGGCCTGTCTTTCTGGATCTGCTGGCCTGTTTTTCTGGATCTGCTGGCCTGTTTTTCTGGATCTGCTGGCCTGTTTTTCTGGATTTGCTGGCCTGTTTTTCTGGATCTGCTGGCCTGTTTTTCTGGATTTGCTGGCCTGTTTTTCTGGATCTGCTGGTCTGTTTTTCTGGATCTGCTGGCCTGTTTTTCTGGATCTGCTGGTCTGTTTTTCTGGATCTCACCCCTACAGTCAGTTTTTCTGGATCTGCTGGCCTGTTTTTCTGGATCTCACCCCTACAGTCAGTTTTTCTGGATCTGCTGGTCTGTTTTTCTGGATCTCACCCCTACAGTCAGTTTTTCTGGATCTGCTGGTCTGTTTTTCTGGATCTGCTGGTCTGTTTTTCTATATCTCACCCCTACAGTCAGTTTTTCTGGATCTGCTGGTCTGTTTTTCTGGATCTCACCTCTACAGTCAGTATTTTCTGGATCTGCAGGTCTGTTTTTCTAGATCTCACCTCTACAGTTAGTATTTTCTGGATCTGCTGGTCTGTTTTTCTAGATCTCACCTCTACAGTTAGTATTTTCTGGATCTGCTGGTCTGTTTTTCTGGATCTCACCCCTACAGTTAGTTTTTCTGAATCTACTGGTCTGTTTTTCTGGATCTCGCCTCTACAGTCTGTTTTTCTGGATCTGTGCGCTGGGTTTTCTGTAACTTCTGCCAGAACTTCATTTTTCTGGGTCTACTTTATCTATTGGTCTTGATCTACAGGCTGGGCTTTTCTGGATTGTGTGTTTCCTTCAGTGTGCGGATGAGGATGAGTGAGTGAGTGTGTGTGTGTGTGTGATCCAGCAATGATGGTGTTTTTCTCCCAGTGATTCTCACATGCAGGTTCCTGCTTACCTTCCCTCATCAGACAGCAGCAGAGCAAACCAGACTCACAGCATCACAATACTCAACTCTCTGTGTGTGTGTGTGTGTGTGTGTGTGTGTGTGAGCTCAGTCGCCATCATACACACACACTCACTCTAAGCCCAACACACACCTGCACACCTACACAAACTGAGCTTCCAGAATAAATAAGAGATATTACTTCAATCATACAACAACATGTCATTAGAGTCACTGTAAAATAGCAAAATAAGTCAAATGCTCTCATTATTGTGATCAGTTCTATATTCATTTTGTTATTAGAGGCTTAATTATTGCCATTTTTACTGCTGTTATTATCATCTGTGTTAGGCTGGCTCAGTTA